TCAGAAGTCTTTGGGGGTATGACATCGTTACACAAAACATCAGGTTGGGACACGGATATAATGGTTTATAGATATATTGTCTTGGCAGTATATCTATGATCTGGCCCCCGTACATTTCCCGTAGTTACTACATGAACACTTTGACTGACAAAATGTTGCCTCTTTTCAAAAGCCTTTTTATGAGTTTTTTTTATCCATGAAAGTTAAGCTACGGCTTTAATGCACAATGTTAGATTCAGCGATCACACGTGAGAACAGCTAGATGAAATCAAGTGCAAGTTTTAAGATAAAGCGAATAAACTCATAACCTCATAGGGATTGTCTAAACGGGATAAAGGGATTTAACATAAAAGCTGAAAACGATCGCCATGTTCTTGAGACCGCTACAGGAACGAATACTATTCCCAATAAAAGACAGGTCTGAGATAGCAACGTTTTTGCATTCCTCACTGCAAAGAAACGAAACGCTCAGCAAACCCATTCCTTAACCCCCTTGTTGAAGACCAGCTGTATCTGGTTCTGGTGCTAACGTGGGGCAGGTCGTGGGTGTCAGGATGCGGGGGAGGGGGTAGAGGGACAGGTTTGTCTACCCTCTGTCCCCTTTCACTACAACCGCTGGACCAAGGGCCTTGTCCGCCTCTAAACATTGATAGGGTTCTGTCTGTGCTTTGCTCAACACATGACGCAATGTTCAAGTGTGGTGTCCCATATCCCAACACAAGCAACAGCATGGCGCGCGTCACCCCAAACCCGAAAAAGTAAAGCTAAAATTTAGAACATTTCAACTTGTAAGGACATACGAATATAAAGGGAGGTAAACGATGTGATGGAAATTCGACGTGCATATCTCACAACGGCGCTAACTCCATGTTGCATTTCTGCGGGGGCTTCGCTAAAGGATCGCTCCATGTGAGATAACAGTGTTGCAAGCCTTCAAAATATTTATTTCACACCGTTTGAAAACCGATAATCAGACCCCAACTTAAAGTATTACCTAATCTTAGCCGAATTCCAATCTCTCCCTGCTGGAGACACGGGTCACAGTGTGAGGGAAAGGTTTCCCATTGACACAGGCATAGTCTACGTGGAGATACACATCTACCATTAGAGAGCATATATCAAGTCAAATCTACCCATGTATCCAAGGTGACAAAGTAAATTGTTATCCATTGTACATATATCTTACCTTTGGTACACTACCTTGTCTTGTGTATGAAGACAACAACGTAGGAGAATATATTATATGTATTTTAATGAATCATTTGGGTTTGTTTAATGACGGATGCTCGTCACAAATCGCACAATAAAAACTGGAATAATGCAATCGTTAGTTCTTCAGGTATGAGAGGTATATATTGTCCCAGACGGTATCGAACAACCCATGGATCAACAGTGAGGGGTCATGGAGTTTGCCAGGTCACACTTTTTAGAACCACGCAGGGAGGTAGTTTTTGTCCCGGGGGTAATTCGGTATTTCAGAATGTATTACCGCTTTGTAATATATCATAATTCTTGCAATAAGCAAATAGTGGTAGCGATTCGGTGGAATATAATGAGGTTCTGATAGCCTTTCAGTTAATTATTTTAGAGCACTGATCCCTGATAAATAACAATAATAATGACTAGAAGGATGAAGACGTTGTCAGTGATGATCCTGAAGACGTTGTCAGTGATGATCCTTATGATGACGACGTTGGTAGTGATGACGATGATGATGCTTGTAACTCCACATGGAAACATGCCCGAAGCGCTCTATTTGTTATTACCTCAGGCAACGGATATGTACTATCATATTTCATTATCAACTCCTTGGGGAGTACACATTATCATAATTATCCTTCCTCTAGCAAGGAAATGCATCTGTGGCGGTGATAACATATCTGCCTTCGGCTATATTAGCTTTAGTGAGTGAGTGAGTGAGTGAGTGACTTTAGTCTTACGGCGCTTTAAGCAATAGTCCAGCAATATCACGGCTGGGGACACCAGAAATGGGATTCACACATTGTACTCATATGGGGAATCGAAGCCGGGTCTTGTGCGTGACGAGCAAACACTTTAACCACTAGGCTACCCCACCGCCCCTTCAGCCATTTAAAATTGGTTGATATATACTAAGTCTTAATTATAGACGTCGGGTGACAGCCATTTGCTAACTACATGTACACTTGTAACATTCCTGTTTAACTTGCCCAGATACAGGATCGCCTCACGTCTCGGTATAGACTCAGCACTTACTGCCTGGGGTTTGTAGCTACCAAGGTCATTAGACAAGCTTCAACATTACTGACCCGAACTAACCCCGCCTCTCAACTGTACATTAACCTAAACGAGCTCTGGAGATGATGGCATTTTGAAATGAGTTCTCTTCACATGGTTTGAGAATGTAATAGGGGTACGACTTGCCTGTGACCTGAGGCGCTTCCAACATGAAGAGTGGACAATGTCCAAGATGCGACCTGATTAGGATTCTTATTGGTGCTCTTGAACTTGACCAAGGTGATGAAGATGTATTTGTTCATCAGTGTTTTAGGCGGTGGGGTAGCCTAGTGGTTAAAGCGTTCGCTCGTCACGCTGAAGTCCTGGATTCGATTCCCCACATGAGTACAATGTGTGAAGCCCGTTTCTGGTGTCCCCGCCATGATATTGCTGGAATGTTGCTAAAAACGGGTCTACGGCGTGACAGGCGAACGTTTCTACCACTAGGCTACCCTACGACCCCCGTGAAAAGTGTGAACACACGTTTCCATTTGATGAATTCAAAGGTAACACTTTGTTTCTACCATTTTGTCCTAAACCGAAACGGAGATATGAGGGTCGTATAGCCTGGATCCACCACAGCAACAACTGCAGTGACATAAATACTTGGTTCTAATGTACGTCTGTCCAATCTCTAGATTACTTCCACAGAAGCCTTTGCAAGTCAAGCCGAAGACTCGTGACTTTGAGTTCATTTGTTTGTCCAAGCATTTAGCGAGTAAGCGTTACACATTACTTGACCTGAGGTCAAGTTTGGGAGGAGAGTGGGGTATGTCCACACAACGTCCATGAAGTCACTACGGACAGTTTCGAAGTGTGTGTGTTCTGTAACATAGCGAAACCCTCTCATTTACACAGGGACGGGCTTAGCATACCGCATTCAGATGGCCTGGTATTGTGGCCCATATTAACAGATACCTGGCATATTTCTATTAAGATCAGGACTCTCCAATCGGTATATCAACAACAGTTTAACTGTTCCACATTACAACACTTTAACTGTCTCACATTACAACAGTTTTGATATCAACAATGAAGGAAGGGCTTGCCATAAATCGTTCTATTTGATGTATGTGGTGAAGATATTACGACATTACAATACCGTATTGCGGCAAATTTGTATATAGTGATTTCGAAACGAAAGTATTTGATTAAATATTATTCAGATGACGAATCAAAGCTTCTTATGGAAAGTTCATTATCATGTTAATTTATAAGAATTATACATATTATTTGTATTGAATACTTAAATATGCTTGTATCTGAAGAAATGGATGGCTCACAGATCCCACATTCCTGGCCCACTATGTGTCGGTTCGATTCCCAGATTTGCTCAAACACGTAAGCATGCATGCATGCACACGCACGCACGCACGCACACACACACACACACACACACACATACATACACACCATGGGCGGATCCAGGAATTTTGAAAGGGGGGTGGGTGGTTCAGGGGGTTATATTGATGTGATCTTCAATGTGGTCTTAAGTTATTTTCTAAAGGGAGGTTCGACTCCCCCCTCTGGATCCGCCGATGCACACGCTCGCACACTCCCACACAGACACCCCCTTCACCGCTGCCTTTCCCTCACAACATCAAGGCACACCCAACAACGTAGCTGTAGTTTCTAAAAAGGCGGGAGACAGATCGTGCGATAATTCGAATAGTATGGCTTCATACATAATTGTAGTCTTTACAACTAAGATTGTAGTATTTTACAACAAAGGGCCTCATGTCTGTAATCAGTACACAACGAAGTCCTGTTGCAACGGTGGCGAGTATCTGGCGCGATAAAGTTGCCAGTGTGGTTAATGAGTTCTTTAATGTTCGAGTCCCACAACTGTAAAACATGTAAATCCAGTACTATGTCGGAATCCTTGATAAATTTTACCATATTTACATTAAATCTTGTTTTATGGCATGAGCGACTTTCACTGTGTATATTGAAGTATCAAACCTACCGTTATCACTTGAGTTTACTGTTATTATTTCATGTAGTTGTTTCAGACTTAGCTCTGTTGTATCAATAATTCGTGCCTGTCTAATGCTTAGATGTATGTTCTATGCGATGACCCTCGACGAGATATCATGTTAGAAAAACGTTATAAATACAAAATCTAAAAACATGTTCATCATCATAATAAATCTCCGCCAAGAGCAGAGTTCCCTGTACGATTGCAACTATGCCATAAGTGTTTATGAATCACTATGAAATAGTGATGGTACTGGATATAAGTGAACGTATTCCACCCCATTGGCGGCACCCGTCACAAACACACCCAAGGAAATGAATGTCTTACGAAAGACCTGCATGTATTATATACCCGGGTATCTTTAGACGTTCATTGCACTTGTATTGACTCAGTATGACCAATAGCGTTGCTGTATTTGCAATAGCGGATACTACGTTTATCAGGTCACGTGTTCAGTGACTCTGTACTTGTATCAACATACTTTACGCACGCAGTAGGCGAGCCCATACGACCATGGTTCATTCATGATACGATAGCGTTCTTATCCAAACATACGGAATGTGAATACGTATTTCGCAATTCCAAAAATTAGTCGACATCACGCTGAATGACAACATGACACTTACTCTGATATACCGTCATGCTGAAATTTTCAAGCAAACAACCAACGCCCTTTCGCAATTAAACGTGAACATGACTTATAACCGGTGTATATGATGACGATCATTGTCGTGGTGACAGCCACGGGGAGTTGCTCTACGGGTTACTGTATCGAGGCTTGTAGCCAGAGGCAGTAGAAAACAATAGGTTGTCCAAGTGTGTGTAAGCGTATTATACGAGGTCCCGCCGGCCTGTATGTTAATCTCGGCTCCACGTTGTTTCGCCCTGACTCGCTGTTGATATTGACCACAATGGCGCACTGAGCAAACGGGGAAAGGAATGACATTTTTTTTATTTCTACAAAATCAAGAATTTGTTCGAGAACTTGACATTGACTGCTTGTGTTGGATGCAGCACGGACGTGGGTTGCGATTCTGTCACTGAAGCGCTTTCTTCCACAATTTGTATAGAAACGTACGGAGTCAGAAGCAACCTTGCAGGACCCCACTGTGGAGATGAGCTTTAAAGCTATGTGTTGAAGTGACAACTACATAGAATCTCAGACTGCTCTTGTTATATATCTCCATCTGCAACGAATAATACTTCAAGATGAAATTGAAACGAAGCAAAGGTATGTGTCACATATTTGTCAAGATGTACCAGAGGTTTATTATTATGTATTTTTATATTTTGATTATCAACCAAGTGGATCTTTTTCTAACACCTTTCAAATTGTATTTCGGTCGAAATGTAAAATGTGTTAATTTTTTTTAGCAATTCTTTCATATTTTGACATGTATTGCTTGTGTCAAGATCTGTTCCATTATGTAGTTGATATTTTGCCTATGATTTATTGTTATACACCATATGACTCTGAAGGTGTTTTTTCATGACATTCAACACTAATGGTATGAAAATTCATACCGTGACATATTAAACTTATTTACGCTATATTTTTCAAAAGAATTAGCTCTTAAGTTAGAGGAGTGCCAATCTTGTAACCGTTTGAAGTCTATGTGAAGATGTTTTAATCTGTCACATGTAGAACTGAAGCATTGCCAGTGTCTAATAAAAATACTAACTATTGGGTTGTTAGCCATTAAAACATGAGCGACAGGCGAACGATATTGACTAATACATTGTTAGACATTAAAACATGCGAGATAGACAAACAATAATGACTATTAGATTGTTAGAGGCAAACAAACAATGTGGGTTTTGTATAACTGTATTAGATGTAGAGGTCAAAGCCAGAGAATATTCATTCTCATTGACAACGTCAGCTACATCCAAACTTATCTTTGGAGTATTTCACAACCATTAGCGTGTAAAGAAACCTGCTACACAGCAACCTCGCCGGTAAACCTTGACACTTATACATTTGGTGGACAGAAGTCCATTCACGTATACGGCAAAGTACGCAATGCATGCCAATGGGCTTTGTTGTATTCCTGTGTTACATGTAATGTTATCCCGCTTCATTAAGCCACTAACCTTAAACGATAGCTACAGGCAATACCAAACCGCCGTGTTGCCAGAGGGCCGGGAGGTACGTTAAAACCATGTATGTACGTCTCGATAAACAATGATATCATGTTTGACTTCGGCGCTGAATGTGTCCTTACCTCAAGACAATTGTATTGCTGTAGGGAGATAGGGAAAGTGTTATCGATGATGATGTCTGAACTGACGACACCCTGCAGCAACGTAGCACGATAATACTGTAGCAATGAAGCATGTTACAATGTTACAGTGTTACTGTATAGATGGGTGTAATATTGTAATAATACCAAGATGTAGTAATGTAGCACATACTAGTGTTACAGTGTAGATATGATTATAGTAAATGCTGTACTCATTCAATAGTGTAGCACTGTAGCTCGTAGAGTAATGTTACCATGTTGATAAGTGTAATTCTGTAATAATGCAACTCTGTAGCAATGTAACAATATTACAATTTAGATGTGTGCAATATTGTAGTTATGCAATAATGTAGCATTGTTTCAAGTAACAATATTACACTATAGATGTTCACAATATTGTAATTATGCAAAAATGTAGCAATGTAACCAATGAAGATGTGTGTAATATTGTGATAATACAGTCCTGTTATGTAACAAGAAACCAAGTGATACTGTAAGCAATGCAGCGCGTACATTGAATTGAATATAACAATAAAACAATGTAGCAATTTCCATTGCTAAACGTGTCTTTATGACAAAGGTCAGCTTTGGGTGTAAAGGAGTTTTCTCTTACGTATATAACAGTTTTGAGTAAATGGTAGCATCATGTTTTCAAAAACATTAATCCACAAAAAAGGGTTTATCTATGTACATTGCGGTTAATTACTTTATGCAGGTAGGGTGAGTTTAAGATTTTCCTGAGGTCATTTTATGGCAGTTTCAGCTTGTGGAAAATGTGCGATAAAAGCTGACACAGGACCCCTGCTATAAGCCACACTGGTACTAAGATAGTCCATTCTAAAGCATAAAAGCTTTGGCACAATCACAGTATGCTAAAGCATGAGAGTGGGGTAGCCTAATGGTTAAAGCGTTGGCTCGTCACGCCGAAGTCCCGGGTTCGAATCCCCACATGGGTACAATATGTGAAGCCCATTTCTGGTGTCCCCGCCGTGATGTTGCTGGAATATTGCTAAAAGCGGCGTAAAACCTAAAACTCAGTCAGTCAGTAAAGCATTAGAGCTTTGACACGGTTTTAGGTGTACCCTTACTATTTACATCAGATTTGTGAGAGAAATGTCTCATACTTTATGTAAAAAATATGCTACTTACAAGAAGTTCAAAAACACCCTAATTTGTTATATTTCTATTGTTATTCTGTCAGGAGATGAATGGATCAAATGTCCTTAGCCGTCTTTTGAGCAGTATGTACTGACGGGAATATATAAAGCCACGGGTGTATGGTGTATGTAGTGTCTTATATACATTAAGTTTTTAATATCAATTTAGGAATGCACCAGGCGTTGCCATTCATCCGTTGTCCATCAATATGATGCGTTTGTTTTTATCGTCCAATCAAGTCTTCTTTCAGCTGACATATCTTATGATTATGGAAACAAGAGTATTGTCGCTCTTTGTTACCACAGCAGTGCTCATTGTTCTTCTTATGATTCGCTACATGTTCCGTTATTTGTTTACATCAGTATATATACAGTCACATACTTTCATTGATAAGAACAATTATGAAACCATTGTAATCGACTTTTTTTCAAAATCATTCGTGTTTTATTGACAAATATTTGTATACTGTTCTGGCATTGTTCTGGTCGTGGGTTTTAATGGAACACTTCAAGGGGGATAATCTAGTGCAGTGCAGATAATCCGTTAATATACCTCAGGTAGAGCGGCTGTCCCACAACCATCCCAACACGTGAATGTAGTGTGTACATGATATCTAAAACCTTTCACCTCAAATTTTATATGTGTGTTCCATATTTAATAAATTCCAGTGTAAATCGGCTTGTGGTCTAGAAAGATGTTAGCCATGTAGATGCGCGTACCTCGAGACGGATCTCATGGCATGGTGCTTTACATGATGTTTACATGATGTTTACGTGATGTTTACCATCAAACGATGTGTGCTTATAGAAACTTTCCATTGTTTGGTGAGCGATATGTTATGAATTCTACCGTAATCCTTTAGGGATAATCCGATTTGGCTTCCTATGCACTAGTCACGTAGATGCGTTGCTAGGTATCAGAACGGACAGGACAAACATTTACCCTTTTGCACTTAATTACATTTTATACATTTTTGTAAGAGTACATTTTGCTGTAGCGACACACGATAAACCTCACTGCTGACAAATTGTCTCGAATCTTAGCAACCTTAATCGAATAAGCCGAAAGTGTCGAAGGTTGGGTGAGGGTTCTGTTTGTGTCGGTCCACCTCTTCTGAGTACATAGTGCACCGAGTATGATGAGCAATTTATTTTAAAAACTGTTTCCACATGTGAAATGGTGAGTGAGTTTAGTTTTACGCCGCTTTTAGCAATATTCCAACAATATCACGGCGGGGGACACCCGAAATGGGCTTCACACATTGTACCCATGTGGAGAATCGAACCCGGGCCTTCGGCGTGACGAGCGAACGCTTTAACTACTAAGCTACCCCATCGTGTCCCTGTGAAATAAGACCTCCTCCGTGGTGTAGTGGTTAGAGCGTCCGCCCGGAGAGCGGAAGGTCGCGGGTTCGATCCCCGACCGCGTCATACCAAAAGACGTTAAACTATGGTACTTGTTGGTCCCTGCCTGGCGTTCGGCATTAATGGGTACAACAAGGACTGGTCGGCTCGGAGTCAGTATAATGTGTCTGAGTGGAGTATTCATGCTTCACTGCGGCGTGGTATCTCAGTGGACTAGCACTATAAAACCAGCTTCAGTCTGGGCTAGTACAAGCAGCCGCACCTACACATACACATGCATGCACGTCGTCATATGAGCGAAATATTCTCAAGCACGACGTTAAACCCAATTTCACCTCACCCCTGTGAAATAAACTCCTAGGTGTATATATCCGAGTTAAAAAACTTAGATATTACTCAGTAACAAGTATACTCCATCACTATACTGATTATAATGATGATGATGATTATTATTATTATTAGCATCGTTATTCTATATCTATGGTTATATATGGTTATTGTATATTGTACAACATAGATGATATTCGACTTTCCCTACACGTATTTCAGTATTGTATTACTCCCGGGCATATGGCGTTATATGCTAATTTGCCTTTTTCTATACGAAAAGCTTTACAGAATGAATTTATGAGCGAACAGAATGCTAGAGCCGTGCATTTCTAAACAAAGCCCCCGCTTTAAATAGCAATATCTGCACCTGTCGTGCATAAACTGTCGATTCTAGGAACTCTCGACCAGGAAGTGTTATCGAAATTCTGAGAATAACTGCTTCTGAAGGACATCGGCAATAAACCAAGCCGAACCTGAATACATCTTGTATAAGTGTAGAGTCATATATTCTCTTATGACTCTCTCCACGCTTCCGGCATTATCTACCGTTTGACATGATAAGGAGCATAATGCAACCTGGACTGACTTATTCTGAAAAACTGATCGTTATCAGTTTGTGCACCGCACTTTCTTATATGAGGCAAGTTTGGGCAATAAACAGCAATAAACAACGTCATGTCCACGTGTCATGGCGTATTCCCTGTATTGACATGCTGTGACTATTTTATTGATATAAATTAATCGACGCTTGAGTAATAATCAAGACATAATATTCTTGAAGCACTTGTGAATTTGGCATCTGGATGCGTTGGATAAATATCGGTGGTAAAAATGAGCGGTTGCTGCAAAGGAGTTCGTCCCAATATGCAGCCTTGGTTGAATGGAGTGTTTTTGCACGGTAGGTTACAATATATGTGTTAAACATGTGATATATGTTAGGTCGAATGGCAAGAGAGTTACTGTGCGGAGTCAGGCAACAAACTCATTTCTTTATGTAAAGCGTGTTAGTTGCCGATGCTACTGGTTGGGCAAGATAAATATACAACTGCGTCAATACAAATTTCCAGCGATCCATGAATATTCTTTTCACTGCTACGTCGTCTCTGGGAACTGTTTCGGTGGATATTTGAGACATACGAGACTGGTTATTTTCTGGAGTTGAAGTTCGATGTAAAAATGTATTATTCATTTATTTATGTGAGACTCCGGACAAAAAAGTTCATTCATTCATTCATTCATTCATTCATTCATTCATTCATTCATTCATTCATTCATTCATTCTTGATTGTATTTATTTATTTATTTATTTATTTATTTATTTGAGACTCCGGACAAAAAAACGTCTGTATGTTCATTCATTCAGTCAGTCATTCATTCATTCATTCATTCATTTTGAGACTCCGGACAGAAATCTCTGTCATTATGGAGTATCATACTCTCATCTACTTGAACACAAGATTATGCGTGTATGTATCAAGTGTAATCATAGCTGTAGAATATGACGTAATGTTTGGAAATGTTGCCGTGTCGTTGATTCCATTGTCATTGTCACTAGCTGGCTGTGGGCGTGACGTGGAGTGCTATCAACATGACAGGTGATGCCGGGTGAAATGTACATGACAGGTGACTGATGCAGGCATGCTTCTCTCACGTGTGGAGACGTGAGCCGTGCACGTCATATCTGAACTGGAGACAGGCAAACACCGACTACAGTATTAATACTTATTTTGTCAACAATAGTCATTGTGTCAGAATCATAATACAAAGCTGTCCTGCTTGTGTTCAAGTGTCTCCACAATCGAGCCCCTCAGTATCTCTCCAGCATGATAACCAGATATCAACCTGTCAGATCTCGTCGGTCCTCTCACCAGTTTCACCTTCAGCCACCTGCACTAAAAACCAGTCGCATCACCAGCCTTTGTTTCCAAATTGCCGGACCAAACTTGTGGAATCAACTCCCACAACAACTGAGATCTAACCACGACCTGGACTCATTCAAATCACAGCTAAAGACTCATTACTTCCGTGAAGCATACAACTAACTTTCCATCAGAGTCTCAAGCGCTGCAGAGCAGTTTATTTCTGGATATGGCGCTATATAAGTTTTTCCATAGATAGATCGATAGATAATATTCTTGTGAACAGTGATATTGATGACACTTTAAACAGTTATATTGTCAACATTGTCTGTTGACAATCATACTGTACTCCTATTATTGATGACACGTGTACTACCAGCTGAATGAAATCAACAAAAGACCGTAGTCTTAAGCAGGGCGTGGGGTAGCCTAGTGGTTAAAGCATCCGCTCGTCATGCTGAAGACCTGGGTTTGATTCCACGTGGTTACAAGGTGTGAAGCCCATTTCTGGTGTCCCCGACCGTGATATTGCTGGAATATTGCTAAAAGCGGCGTAAAACCATACTCACTCACTCACTTACGTTAACCAGGTGGTGAAGAGTTGACTTACATGACCGAAGACAGGGTTCGATCCCCGTTTAGTGATAGACATTCGTAGTCCCCGCTATAACATTGCCAGAATATTGCTAAATACGTGAACATAACTTTTCATTCAATCAATCAGTTCGGAGATCGTTTAGGGAACCTGTATTTCAACCATGTTTGTTACTTCTGCAATACATTTAGTAGTGTAAACGTTAATGAGTCCGTATTACTTTAATTACTTTAATGTTTTTGACATTTTCCGACGTCAGCATCAAAGGCTCGTTACTGTTATGTCATTATCATGTTAATTTCTACCAAGCGCTCTCCGTGGACATATGATTGCATAACCACGTGACCACTTATACAGTTGTCTGCATCATGTCAATTTCATACAATCCCATCAGTCAGCTGATTTCCCATGATGCACCGCCATACACTATCGTACAGCATACATGTACATGTTTGTACAGAGCAATACATCACGCGAAATGTCAGCTTGCTTAAATAGTGGCAAACATTATAATCTAAATGGCATTCGAACGTTAAAACACGTATTTCAAATTCTTTAAACCTTATTTTTTAATAAACAATTAAAACTTGGACATTACATGTTAATCACTCTATTTTTATACGTTTGAATTATAAATAACTTCTTAAATGGTTTAAATGTCATTCAGTGTCAAGGTGTTCTCAGATATTAAACCGACTTGACATTGATCAAGGTTTTAAACTCATTATCGAATTGAAAGAACATTTTTTTTGCTTTATCGTTTGCTCAATAAAAATATAATTAGAGTCAAACCGTCTCGGCGCTAAACATACAAAGTGGAAAGAATTAATATGAAGTTAAATATACCACGCATGTGAGTTAATTTCAAACCCACGGGTGCACGTAGGATTTAATGAAATTGGGATCATGTAAATTCAAGTCCTGTCATGTTGTTTAGGCGTTGTTTGTGATGTCAATGTGTTGGTAAACAACAAACAATAGCAATCACTCTGTTGCTTGAGAAAGTCGGAAAAAATGGTCATACAAATAAGAGAGCCGAGTGTTGTTGAGACGTCCTCTGTGACAGATTGGATAGCACACACCAAGACGTTGTCGTCAACAGAACAATCGTGTTTATCTCGCAAAATATTAACAGGGAACGTATCACAAAATATTCCGAATATTTTGTGTCAAAATAGAAGAAAGCACAATTGTAGTCACCTAAGATTTTCAAGTTATTCGGAAAATGGATTTTATTGTAATTCTTTTAATCTTTTTGATGTAGAAATTATTCTAACTTAAATATGTTCTTTAAATAAGGATTAGATCAATTTTGAAAAATAACAAATTTGGAGGCGATCCCTGAGTGACCTGTCAATCATATTGTCATAAGTGAGATTCATTGCTGTCTCTCGTCAGTCACCTTTCAGTCTTTGTGATGGATTACAAAGAGCGGCATGTTATTGCTGTCAACATTCTTTTGCGTGTTGTTTTTCACGACTTTTATTACTCTTCAGGGATTGCAAGGCATATTGGATGAAAATGAATAAACTGCATGTGATATTGGTTTATTAAACTCAAACTCGAGATAAACCTATCAAAATTGAGTTCACACCCACACTTCCATAAATACCTGACAATTAAGTAACTATTACATACTGGAATATAAATGTTCATTATCGTCAATGAGATGATGAAGTTGACTGATGGTTAAAGTACTGGCCTAAATAAAATAGAAGGAATAAGTTTGCTTCTGTCGAAATACGAAGATCGAAAATATACCAGAATTTAATGGAATCTTTAATTTTTGTAAAGAGTAAAATCTGACCCAACCTAACCAAACAAGTCAATATGCATGTCCTTCCCTGAAATCAGTTGTATAAGTAATGTACCCATGCACACATCTGTGAGGTGAAATTGGGTTTTACGTCCTGCTTGAGAATATTTCGCTCATATGACGACGTGCATGCGTGTGTATGTGTATTTGCGGCTGCTTGTACTAGCCCAGACTGAAGCTGGTTTTATAGTGCTAGCTCACTGAGATACCATGCCGCAGTGAAGCATGAATACCCCACTCAGACACATTATACTGACTCCGAGCCGACCAGTCCTTGTTGTACCCATTAATGCCGAGCGCCAGGCAGGGACCAGCAAGTACCATATTTTAACGTCTTTTGGTATGACGCGGTCGGGGATCGAACCGGCGACCTTCCGCTCTCCGGGCGGACGCTCTAACCACTACACCACGGTGGCGGTCTGCACACATCTGTGTGTTGATGAATACTATGTGTAAAGTTATCATCCTTGTACCGCTGACGATGGGTTGAGTGTGATAATATTCTTTGAGGATGGAAACCAGTGGTGGAGTTCTCAGACTGGAACAATGTCTGTTCTTAGTTCCCTTTACATGGATATAAGTGTGGTTTTGCTGTTGCGTTTGGAAATATTACAGTCAATCAACGACAGAGAAAAGCATATGGGTTTCCAAGTAGGACATCGCACCCGGACCTTCGACGTGTTGAGCTAACACTTTAACAGTCTACCTCACCAAGCAGAGAGAGAGATTAACCCCCCTGTGTTTCAGACTGACTGACTGACTGAGTTTGGTTTTACGCCGCTTTTAGCAATATTGTTTCAAAAGAAGGTCCAGGGCGTTGGGGTATCTCAGTGGTTAAGGTGCTCGTTGTGTATGACGACTCACCACCATCGATCCAAAGATAGACCATTTGATCTATGTACTTGCCTCTTTAGGCCCTCAAATGTTCAGAACAATCTCAGCCCAAACTCCAATCATCGCAGTGTAGTAAGTTGGTAACTGATAGAACATACCCATCTTCATCAATACTTACCGTTCATCTTCTGTTTCAGATCGGCGGAACTCGCTGACGAAGGCACACCACTTCATCAGCCGTGACCCTCCGAGTGGGACGCCATGGACGGTTACACCTTCAACGGCGACTACATCGGGTACTCCACCCTCTCCAAACCGGCTACTGGGGTGGGGATTCTCCAGCAGCCGATCAAGGAGCAGTACCTGAAGGCCCGGAAACAAGGAAACTCCAAGAAAGTAATGCTTAGACTGGTTCAGGCCGGTTTGGCCATCAGTCTTGTTGACACGGGCGGCGGCCAGAAGGGAGAGATGTTCTACGAAATCAGTTCCATCAGCTACATTGAGAGTCTCAGGTTTACTGTGCTGAGTGGGAACAGTGACAAGAAAGTTCGTGCAATGTTTGTTCCTCTGGGTGAATCATCTCTGCCAAGTGTGAAAGACAAGAACGCATTTACCATCGACAAGAACTTTCACTTCCTGACTCAGATCAGTCATCCCGCGCTGTTGGCCTGCGTCTTGAGAAGGCCAAAAGGAGTCAAAGCTCTGGACTGCCATATTTTCATGCTGGAAAATGTTGAGGATGCTTTTAAGATTGTGTCCATAGTGAGACATATTCAGACCCGGGGGTCCAACCCTGATGTGATGACTGAGTTGAAACAGAACGACAACAGCAGTTTCAAGCGCGGCCAGAACAATGATGTGATACGAACTGAATACGGGGAGTATTCCGTGTACAGGGGACAGAAGCAATATGAACTCAAGGATGACTTCTTCCGACCCCCAGGACAAGAAGGCGGTCCACAGGGTGAATACAGACCCCCCGGACCAGAAGGGGGTCCTGATTTCAACAACGAGGATCCGGGGTATGGGTGGTCTTATGAACGCTCTAGAGAAAACAATGATGAACATTGGCGCACCTTTGACCACGATCGGTTTGGTGGGCAAGATGAACGTTTTCCTGGGCAGCTGAGAGCGGGTTCTCAAAACAGGGGAGAGTACTCTTACGATCAAGGCGGAAGAGAGTACATCAGTCACGGTCGTCAAAGGTCGTCTGATAGTGGTGAGGGGCGGATGAATATGAGTTTCAGCGATTCATCAGAAAGGGGTGGTAGGCATGATGATCACACAGAAAGAAGGTCATGGAATGAGCGGGAACGGGGTAACATCTCACCCCGTGCAGCACATCTCCCACCCCCCAGGGTAGCCGAGAAACCACAAAAACCCGACCCCATGATGAGATCAATGGGTCCTCCCAGCCCCAACCAACACTCCCCTCCTCGTCCCCTCTCCCCCCGCGGAATGGACTCGCCCCGATCAGCCAACTATCAGCACCCTCCAGCATCTGCCTACAACCAGCCTGCACAAGGGGGACGCTATGGCCCCTCTTCTCCCGGTGGACCCGTCTACTCCATGTCCAATCTCGAGAGTAGACAGACCGATGTCCGGGTGCCTGAAGAGGAGGCAGCTCCCAAGCCTGTGGCTAAGGTTCCACCACACATGGTGGCTGGCGTGAAGGTTCTTCCAACTGGTTTCGCTCCCTCAGCAATTAAGTTGAAACCCAAGACAACTAAACATGACAGAAGTTATGGGTCTGAGGATTCGGATCCTGACTACGACAACAACATCCATATGTACAAGAAGCCCACCAATGACTATCAGAACTACCATTCAGAAAAATACACCGAAGAACGGAACATATATAATCACAATCACAGCAACGAGGGCCGGGGAAAAGGGGGAGACAACTACGGTAAAGGGGGAGATAACTACGGTAAAGGAGGAGATAACTACGGTAAAGCGGGCGATAACTACGGTAAAGGGGGAGATAACTACGGCAGGAGCGGGGGCTACGGTGACTACAACAAAGGGGGCACCTACGGCGACAGCAGCTACACTAAAGAGGGCAGCCAGAATCGGGGCTTCAGCTACGCCCCTGAATATGGACGGCAAATCAGCGACGAGAAGACCGAAAGCCGTCAATATATTGAAAGCTACGATGGGCCTTACGGTGTCCAGAGACGGGATACTGACCATAGGCAGGCGGACAAAGGGGGTTCCAACAGGTATAGCGCACCATCAACGGCTTACGACGACAGATCACATGATCCGGGTAACCGTTGGAGCGGGTCAAGTGGTGGAGGTCAAGGACGATCTCAGTCTAACTACGACCTCGGTAGCAGAGCGCCTTCTGGTGGGGATGGCGGACAAGGTCCTAAAGGGAAAGAAGCCGAGATTGCATCAATGTTTACGAACTTCCAACTTCAGAAAGGGGAGCCAACTCCTTACACTACTTCCGGAACAGATTTCGAGCAATCTCTGGGTTACTTCCCTTGACGGAGTCCGTATTTCGCGATTTCGAGACTGTTTAATGTGCCGTAGAAGGTGTTTGATGACGATGTATCCACGTGGAGATGCGTGCATGTTGCTGCTTGAGAGGACAGCCTGATTCAGAGACAGGAGAATGTAGTGATGGTATATGTCTGATGTCGGGTTTATGAAGTAGAACATTCTTGAGTGACACTGTAATGGATAGATAGACCAGGCTTCCGGACACTTTATTAACGTGGCAATTTGCTAGAAGACGTACAATCTATGCATCCTTTCTGTGACTAGCCTTGTTCATTCTTTGTTACAGTGTTCTTCTTCGTCATCATCAAACCCTTGGAGATCAAGGAACAAAGCTCATGTACAAGCTAGAGTCAGTTCTATATTTCAAATTTAAATTGCAGGGCGTCAGCAGGTTGCGGTATTATGGTAACACAGGTGGTACACAGTGGTACAATAGGTGATACAGTAGCGATATTATTGAAACTGTTGATCTCAGAAGTTAGTGTCATTTTATGGCATCACATCATCGTCTAAAAAGAAAATTTATCCCGTAGACAAAGACACCACCGTCTAAAAAGATATGTTATATATAATCGCAATAAATTATGCACTCATCACATATATAGGTATATTGGATATGTAACTCGTATCTCAATAGGCGGAAGCTTTATCATGGTTTGGTTGCTCCAAAAGTCAAATCTTTCTGAGAGTTTGATTTTAAGTAAGTAGAACCTGCTGAGGAACTTATAAACTGCCTCTGAAGAACGAGAAATGGATACCTTTACGATTGTATGCTTCTACTATATCATAGTGCAATGGCCAACAACTGCATTTCTCAGGCTTATTCGAGTCACGTTTGCAGTATATTTTGCTTTTACTGACGTGTAATGGTAGGCATGGCAGGTGTTCACATGGCAAACGTGAAAAGAATAACGGCAAGTTCATCCAATATGTCACCTACGCAATATTCACACGGCAGGTAGTGACATCAGTAGATAGCTTGGTCATGTGCAGTGTATCCAGATTCACTAACCACGTGCCTATTGTTCAATGCTATATATAGGCGTTGACATTGAACACACAATAAATCAGCCTCTATCTTCATGATATTGTGTTACGGAAAAGTTTAAATATTGATATTTATTCATTTTAATGATCTCTTGCTATTGTAATAGGTTCGTTACGTTGCGTTTAACTTCATTACAGCTAAAAGCTTCGATAGACCGACTGCATCGATTTTCTTTACTGATAGTGAATGGATGTAGCATGGATTATAGATGTATGGTGTATATAACATGTAAATAGTGTCGGTGTGAACTCTATGTGACTATATATGCAGTGTACATCCAGCGTCTTGAGTGCCTGAGATCACGTGATATTCAGTGACACGTTGACCTTCACATTGTACATAACCCTTTGTCATGTACTGAACCCCTTATGTAACATTGTAATGAGGACCTTGGATCCGCCCTAACTTACATTGTAATATAGCCATGTAACCTACAGTGGACCCTCCGAACTTGTCATAAAGATCTGTGCATGGACCCACCCAACTTACATTGTAATATAGCCATGTTACCTATAGTGCACCTCCGAACTTGTAATAAAGATCTGCGTGGACCCGCCTGAACTTACATTGTAATATAACCACGTGGCCTAAAGTGGACCCCAGAACTTACATTGTAATAACGACCTGTGTGCCCCCTACCCAACTTACATTGTGACATAGATATGATCTATACCCTCCACAAAGTGTAATATATTTCAAGTCATTATGCAAGATCTGAATGTTTATTTTTTCTTGTCATAATTATGATGAGTAAATAAAAACTATTGCTTATACCAAGTGTTCGGGTTACAATATATTTTGTCACATTACTCTTTCGTATTGTCTTCACATGTACGCAACCAATATTAATGGTATTTTGTTCTTCAACGCCGCTCTCAGCAAAGTTCCAGCTATTCGACAAAGCATAGATATATAACCTCACCTCACCTCCAATACACACACACACACACACACACACACACACACACACACACACACACACACACACACACACACACACACACACACAAAGTTCCAGCTATTCGACAAAGCATAGTTATATAAGCTCACCTCACCTCCAATACACACACACACACACACACACACACACACACATACATGCATGCATACATTATTCAATACCTGATAATCATCATTCTTTCTTTGTTGTTTACCTCGCAGTTATGTTCCAACTATATGACATGGAAATAATTTAGTCTAGATCAGACAATCATGCGGTAACGAGCAACGATCAACAGCGGTTGTCGTACACTTACACCCCGTCGACTTAGTCACCCGACAGACTATTTGAGTCATAGAGGTGTACTCAGTGCATCTGATCAGATACCCTCTTGGTTCATCAACTCTTATGAGATTTGACCTGTTAATACAGCTGTTTAGTGATGTCTGATCAGTATGGCCCAGTCCTGGTTCCTCTACAGTCAGTCAATCACTAAACTAACATCAACCACAGTCTAAACCACAGTCAGAGAGTAAATCACAGTCAGTCAAAGACTAAACCACAGTCACCCACAAATTACACTACAGTAATCACAGTCAGCCACGTGCACAGTCAGCCATTGATTAAATAACAGTCACCAACAGATTAAACTACAATATATCACAGACTACACCACAGTCACACACAGATTAAACCAGTCAGTGAGATTAAACCACAGTCCGACAGAGATTAAACCGCAGTCAGCAACAGACTAAACCACAGTGATACAGAGACTAACCGAAAGCCAGGCACGGATTAAACCACATCCACCAGAGACAGTCAGGGAGATATGAAACCACAGTCAAGCAGAGACTGGACCACAGTCAGCCAGAGATTAAGCCACAGTCAGCCAGAGATTAAACCAAAGTCAGCCAGAGATTAAACCACAGTCAGCGGCAGACTAAAACCACAGTCTGTGACTAAACCAGTCTGCCACAGACTAAACCGCAGTCAGCAGCAGACTAAACCACAATCAAACAGAGACTAAACCACAGTCACCCACAGACTAAACAACAGTCAGACAGAGATTAAACAACAGTCAGATACAGGCTACACCAAAGTCAGGCACAGACTAAACCACAGTCATCCTCAGACTAAGCCGCTTTTAGACAGAGATTAAACCACAGTCAGATACAGACTACATCAAAGTCAGGCACAGACTAAACCACAGTCATCCTCAGACTAAGTCACTTTTTAGACAGAGATTAAACAACAGTCAGATACAGACTACACCAAAGTCAGGCACAGACTAAACCACAGTCATCCTCAGACTAAACAACAGTCAGACAGAGATTAAACAACAGTCAGATACAGACTACACCAAAGTCAGGCACAGACTAAACCACAGTCATCCTCAGACTAAACAACAGTCAGACAGAGATTAAACAACAGTCAGATACAGACTACACCACAGTCAGGCACAGACTAAACCACAGTCATCCACAGACTCAGTCAGGCACAGACTAAACCACTTTTTAGACAGAGATTAAACAACAGTCAGATACAGACTACATCAAAGTCAGGCACAGACTAAACCACAGTCATCCTCAGACTAAACAACAGTCAGACAGAGATTAAACAACAGTCAGATACAGACTACACCACAGTCAGGCACAGACTAAACCACAGTCATCCACAGACTAAACCACAGTCAGACACAGACTAAACCACAGTCAGACACAAACTAAACCACAGTCAGACAGAGATTAAACAACAGTCAGACAGAAACTAAACCACAGTCACAGGCAGACTAAACCACAGTCAGACACACGCTAGACCACAGTCAGAAACAGACTAATCCACAGTCAGACACAGGACTAGACCACAGTCAGAAACAAACTAAACCACAGTCAGCCACAGACTAAACCACAGTCAGACACATACTAAACCACAGTCAGCCACAGACTAAACCACAGTCAGACACAAACTAAACCACAGTCAGGCACAGACTAAACCACAGTCAGGCACAGACTAAACCACAGTCAGGCACAGACTAAACCACAGTCAGGCACAGACTAAACCACAGTCAGACACAGACTAAACACAGTCAGATAGAAACTAAACCACAGTCAGGCACAGACTAAACCACAGTCAGGCACAGACTAAACCACAGTCAGGCACAGACTAAACCACTGTCAGCCACAGACTAATCCACAGTCAGGCACAAACTAGACCACAGTCAGTCACAGACTAATCCACAGTCAGGCAGGTTTTACGCCGCTTTTTAAACCACAGTCAGGCAATATAAACACGGTCAGGAACACCACTAAATGAGCTTCACACAGACTAGAACCCACAGTGGGAACAGAACCACAGTCTTCTAAACCACAGTCAGACACGCTTAAACCAGTCAGGCACAGACCGACCCCAGTCAGTCACAGACTAAACCACAGTCAGACACAGTGTAAAAAACCACAGTCAGGCACAGACTAAACCACAGTCAGGCACAGACTAAACCACAGTCAGGCACAGACTAAACCACAGTCAGCCACAGACTAAACCACAGTCAGACAGAAACTAAACCACAGTCAGGAATAGGCTAGACCAGAGTCAGACAGCGATTAAACCACAGTCAGACAGTCTAAACCACAGTCAGCGTCAGACTAAGCCACGGTGGGTCTGTATACTGTTCAAATGCGATTTATTCAAACCGTACACTCCACCTTTTATGTCTGAAAATCCATTAGCTCTAAAGCATATATATGTCCATTCTTAAAATTCAAAAAGTGAGGTTTCAAAAGATTACGTTTGAACTTTAAGACATTATCTGTAAATAGAATCATCAATACTTTTGTTCGTACCCTGCTATGCCAATTTCTATTTTTGTCCTCACATGTGTTTTTTTAAACATTAGCACGTTGGCAGGCGGTGACGGGTCAACAAAGTCAACCAGTTGAAGGCACACTTAGAAAATACGTCGGGGACTACAATCTAAAACCTCATGAAAAAATGAAATCAGGGTAGGAATAAATATTTGAAAGTTTAAGAAATTAAATTGAAAACATTTTGCTATTTCTTTCACAATTCTAGATCTGGAGGTGCTTCTTTTGTCCATGAACGTCCGGGCTTCCCAGGTTCGAATCCCGACTCAAAAGACGTGATGCTCAATTGGCCTACGGTTTGTTTCGCGGTCTTCATGCAACAAGCGCAAGGTTCTTTCTCCACAAACACACCACTGAACAATGAATAAGTTATGTAGTGAGTGGGTAGGTGAATGTTTGATGCTTGGATGGGGGAGTGAGGGGTTGCATTTGCTTTTAGCAATACCCCCCTCCGTGCACTCACTTGTTCACATTTTTATCAAACCGTTGTCTCAGATAAATGAGTGAGTGAGTATAGTTTTAGGCCGCACTCAGCAATAGTCCAGCTGTATGGCGGCGGTCTGTAAATAATCGAGTCTGGATGAGACAAACCAGTGATCAACAGCAGCCTCAGATAAAATGCGTGTGTAACGCAAATTACTCTCGCACACAATTGACAGGACAGGTATCCATCCGTACACGTCACTGAGTTGGTTGATTATGTAGTTTGTTGTTTAACGCCGCACTCAGCTTATATCCAAGCTATATGGCGGCCGTCTGTAAATAATCGAGTCAACAGCATGGCATCGATCTACACAATTAGGAAACGATGACATGTGTCAATCAAGTGAGTGAGCCTGACCTCCCGATCCCGTTAGTCGCCTGTTACGACAAGCATGGGTTGCTGAACACCAATTCTAACCCGGACCATCACTGGTCCACATCATTGAGGATGATATGGAACGACTGGTCATTGGCAGCAAGGGATTTCTCGTAATATTTGACAAGTACGTAGACAGATACATAGCTGGCTGTTTACAAATGTGAGGTGAGGTGAGGTGAAATTGGGTTTAACGTCGTGCTTGAGAATATTTCGCTCATATGACGACGTGCATGCGTGTGTATGTGTAGGTGCGGCTGCTTGTACTAGCCCAGACTGAAGCTGGTTTTATAGTGCTAGCCCACTGTGATACCACACCGCAGTGAAGCATGAATACCCCACTCAGACACATTATACTGACTCCGAGCCGACCAGTCCTTGTTGTACCCATTAATGCCGAGCCCCAGGCAGGGGCCAACAAGTACCATATTTTAACGTCTTTGGTATGAGCGTCCGCTCTCGGGCGGACGCTCTAATGAGGCGTTTACCGCGTCCAAAGCGTTCTTGCGACATGCTAACATTGAGAATGTAAAATTCCGGTTCATCCTTTTGAGAAGGTTCACACTGTTCTGAACCATTGCCTCAGGGGTACACAGGCATTTCCGAAAGAAATGGATTTGATGAGAATGGTTTATGGTTATTTTGTTGATATTTTAGGTCCGCTTCAAAAGGCCTGATTCCAGCCAAATACTCTAGAATAACGTCCCTTTGATCAGCGCTGTTTCCTCAACAGAACATTTCCTACAGGACTTTGAATGACCACACCATTCTTGTACTTCCGTACTTCACTTCCTTACATTTGTTGTCGTATGATCAAAGATATTTTTTTCGGTTAGATATTAGGATTATCATGCTTCAAGTAAGAGCCCACGTGATTATGTGCATGGTAATGTGTAAAAATGGTTAATATGATAGGTATTCTTTATTCTTAAAAAAGAGTTTGCTAAAGGTTATACTTCCTAAAGAAATTGAAAGTTTATTAAACTCTTTATTTGAAGAGCATATTATCAGTACTGTTTAAGGCAGACATATAATCATTAAAATACCCCTTGCTAATAGGTAGCCTAGTGGACAAAGCGTCACCGCGCCGTAGTTCGAATCTCCGCATGGCCA